GGGGTCGTTCGGCGCCCCACCCCCTCCCTGCAAGTTTTTTGTCATAGCACTCTCATTTTTATTAAGCATTGGGAAGCGGTTCGGGGAGGTAAAAAGAAAAAATCTAAAATAGCCAATAACTTTTTTTTGACCAAAGCTACAGTTCTAAAAATGGATGTAGAATCATGGTTTACACGTTAATATTTGTTTTTACCCTTTTTTGCCATTTTTTCGACCCTCCCTTATAGCACTATTACAGTTACCGGTCTTATTTAATGAGCTGAACATGCATTTCAACCCTATACCTATTCTCTAGTGCCTTTTTCTAGGGGGGCGTGGGACCCCCCCCCCTCCATAGATTCAGACCCCAGCCTTTATAGGGTTAATGATCAATACCTTTCATTAAAAATGTAATAAAGTTAAGCTGAGTTTTCACCTTCCCGAGAGCCTGTTACAAAGTTCCATGTGTTCTACAGCACTCAGTTTGATTGGGATAAAGTGGAAACTCGTTGAGGTAGGATCACAAATCTCATTTTCTAATAATCAATCAGAAATTAAGTTTAGAAAACATATAAAATTACTAAAGGATTAGCGTAAATCATCACTCTATACACTAAAACCTCGTTGGTTCATTCATACAGGGTTATCAACAAAGACTGAGAATTCAAAGACGACTAGTGTAGGGAATAAACTCAGTCTTCAATTCTTACAATCAAATTTCCTATGCAATTTTTTGATATTGTTCTGTAATACTCGACAAAGCATTACGAAATAACCTATATCCTGAAAGGTTTTGACAGAGTTATCTATAATACAGGACGTGATATCTATAATACAGGACGTGATATCTATAATACAGGACGTGATATCTATAATACAGGACGTGATATCTATAATACAGGACGTGATATTGAAAAAAAGTTTCGGATATCAAACATTTCTTCTAACTGTGTATACCATGTTAAACCTATGAACAAAACTGTTTCATTGTGGCAATTTTACATCCTACAAAATAAGAAACAATTCTTTATTTTTGTTCCCAGTTTGACTGATCTTTGTGTACAGAAGGTCTAGTAAAATAAAAACTAAAATTTAAAAATTAAAAACCCGAAACTCTGAGTTTATTTACAGGTTATGCAGAAAAATATCAGGTTTAGATCAATCTACAAACAATCTGATTCAGAATGGCCAAAGCTGATTACCAGTCAATGATTTTTTTCAATGGAAACAAATCTTTATTTCTTCTCGACAAAGAGTTTAACAAAAACCGTTTCCATGTTATGCCTCTCATTTGTAAAGGAACAGGGATCAGATTTAATAAGTACATGCAAAAGTATAAAAAGTATTCGATAAGACTTCAACCATATAGTTGTGCCCTTAGCTGACCTAGATCATATGTTTCCATTATTGTAACTTGTGGTTTCCCAACAATAGTCCAGTCTCTCTCCCTCCAGCTGACAATGTCTCCTTCAGGAAATGTTCTACAACCTAAACTAGAAAATATTACAGGGTTACCCTACTCAACATTGTCAATTAGATATATTATAATATATACATATTGTAAAATTATTATAGGTTTAATCAATCACTGAACTACTTTCTCCGGGTTTAAATTTGAACCATCGATTCAAAGCTAAAGATTCAGGAAGGATTTTTTAAAATCGGGGATTCAATTTTGAACCGGCCATAGGCAGCTCAGCGATCCTGTAAGTTCAATAAATTCGGTCCTAAGTCTTGATTTTTAGTCAACATTTTAATCTTGAAGCTTTTATCTTTTGAAACTTTCGAGATATGTTTCATCTATTAATCCTGAGACCGAATTTAAAGAATTTGAACCGCGGCTTAAATTTGAGACGTGGCCCAAATATGGTTGGTTCTACTTAAAATTTAATTAAATTTTTCAAGATTTAAGGCGGCGCTCAATTGAAACCGGTTTTTGATGGATTTGAGACGCGACTCAAATTCATTAAATTCTGACTTAGATTTAATAAACTGAGGTCGGATCTAATGAATAGAAAGACGTCGTTGAACTAAAAATCGCAAAAGTTGGCTATCGATCACATGCACTGATATCTAGACATCTATAAAAGTTAGTCATAAAATTGTTAGACAGCCTCGACTTCGAAAGGTTAAAACGGCTCGAGCTTTGGTTTTACATTTACCTCACAAACATTTTGCAACGTGATTTTTTCTAACTTAACCCTATCCCCGCTGGTGTACTTGAAAACCAGGATACGCTGGGGGGGGGGTCAATTTGACCCCCCCCTCTAAATCCCATGTTTTATGTCCAAATATGACAAATGATACATCATTAGAAAGCTCTTGTGCTCTACTTTTAGAATCTGCAAAAAAATTTGCAAATTTGCGAAAATTTAATTTTTTATCGCAAAATCCAGTTTTATAGTAAAAATGTTTGCAAAAAAAAATTTGTCCAAAAAATGACAAATTATACATTTTTGAAAAGCCCTTGACCATGCCATTTCAAATATGCAAAAAATTTTGCAAAATTTTAAATAACCTGATTTTTAATCAAGAAAAACTAAAAATGTGCTAATTTCCTTTGACAGGTTTTTTGCAAAAAAATTGCAATTTTTTTTCGCAAAACTTGTGCAATCCGTTTCCTTATGTCATAGGCTTTCCAAAAAGCTAAATTTTATCAAAATCTGACAAGTGAAAGTGGGTCAAAACAAAGATTTAGTTTGCCACAGGCAAAAGCAGTCATTCAGGCAGTGTGCCTGAGGACTCAGGCAGTTAGTATTAAAGCCCGGTTTTAGGCCTAAAGGGAGGGCTTTGGGTATGTAAGAAAAGTCAGAAAATTTCAACAGCCTCAGACCAATACTTTTTGAGTTATGTAAAAAAAAACTACAGGGGGGGGTCAAATTGACCCCCCCCCAGCGGGAATAGGGTTAAGCTTGAGAGCAAAATGCTGCTCAATATTTGCGTGAATGCGTGCACATCTTGGTTCGCAGTAAGTATAGATACAAAGTTCCTCTATCCGTACTTAGTTCAACTACATCTTGCTATTTATTAATTTCTATCTCTAGTCTTTTTTACGACTGACGTTTAGTTTTTAATAACAATGATTCAGAGAAGGAAATTCTTTTGAATCATATGATTATTAAAGATTATAAAATTTTCGATTTTTATTATTTTTCCAGTCCATTCTAATTTATATTCCTTGTATAAAATGAACAAAGATCATTAGTTTAATTTTGGCCTGTTAAGTCTTTAAGCTCTTGATCAGAAAGTACACCGTTGAACACTTGGACATCAGTTACTTGACCATACATCGAGTAATCTACATAATTATATAATTAAATAATTAACAACACAAAACCCTAGAACAGGAAGACGACTTTTAGACTTCAGTTATGACTTTAAATAAACAGCAGTGTAAAATGTCCCATTTCACTGAATAAATAAATCAATAGATACTATTCAAATTGTTTGCTTCATACAAAACAACATCAAAAACACATAATTAGTACTTTAATGTCGTTTTCAAATTGCAGTTAATTCTGGTTCTTACTATATGTAATTTTTAAATTGATATTGAACAATTGATTTATATAATTATTTATTTATAGATTGTTTACACAGTCAGGTTGCAAAATTATATACAGGGTCTTTAAAAAAACATCATTTTAAAATTTTACCTAATGAGGTAAAAAATCATTACATGATGATAACAAAATTCGCAAATGCATATTCAAATGTGGACATTTGGTTTTATGAAGTTTTTTTTATGGCACAAATGCAAAAATAGCAGCTTTGCACTTTATTCACACAACCCACAGAAACCTGGATTTTGCCGTGTGTTTTCCGCTACTTTTTGACAAACATGAATAAAGACTGATATGTATTCGCAAATGTCCCAACGTTCAGGTTTCAGAAATATAAGTTTTAGATCTTTATGTTGTGTTCTTCTTTTAATTTAGAGTGCTTAAAAGAACTGGTTTTGAGAGACCCATGATAAGAAAATTAGAAATTATATTTATAAAATTTTATTACCAATATTGTCCATATCATAAGCACACCCAGCAGACACGTGACTATAGGTTGGGAGAAGGGTTTCTCCAACATCTATTAAACCTTGGTCATTTTTACTGAAAATCTTCTCTCCGTTCTCAAAGACAGCAATATCTCCTGAAACAAAGTATTGAAGGTGCTGCAAATTCCGCTGTACATAAACTCCGGTTCAAGGTACCGGGCCGAATTTAAGCAGCTAGAGCAAGCTATACAGTACACATATAGACTTTTTAAGGCAAAACGGGACTGTACAACAAATGACTCGGCCCCTTTGAGGTATTACAACTGTAACATTAAAATATAGTGTGGAGGATCGTAAATGTCGCCTTTCAGTCCGGAAGCTTAGCTAACCAAACCAAATATATTAGATATAGTTCTATAAACCCAAGAGATATATTTATATGTTTTAGTTCCTTGGTTCCTTGTTTAAACTCATGTTGTATGTTAGAATTAAATATATATATAGCAGTTACAGTGATAACCAGAAAACTCTGGAATAAGAAAACGACTTTTAGACTCAAGTTATATCTTTAAAAAGTCCAATGAGCTTGGGACACAACAAATGTGCATTGTAAACAGACCATTTTTAATCTATAAGGGTTTTTTAAGTGTATAGTAAAACACTATATAAACTTAAATATAGCTTAAATATTGTCTTTCTATATGTTTTCTGGTCATCCCTGTACTTTATTTTGGTCTTTAACTCGTCGCTACAGTATAAATGACTCAAATTTCTTTAACAACACTTTGATATGTTTCCACAATTTTTGGTTTATTATATGATTCGTTTTTATTACTTCAATTTTGTTGGTCTGCATGCATCTAGTATGCCAGCTGGAATTAAAGAAGCTAAATTCAATTATTTTATTGATCCGAATGTGTTTTGTGCATCCATCAGAATATCTTTGCATAATTTGATTGGCCAGCATGCATCAAGCAAGCCCAGTTGCATAAACCTCAACTTTGGCCTTAAAATCGAAAACATAAATCTTAAGTTAGGTTAATATTTTTCAAAAAATTTGACAGCCTGTATCTAACAGAATGCAGATAGCTCAACTTTTAACTTATAAATGGATTAGTTGATGACAAAACAGAAGGTTGCCATTTTCAAAATTGTCGGATCTCTACCAAACTTGGATGGAACCAAGGCAAGGTTAAGGAGAGTCTCCACTAAAAGTTTCACCCTGATCTCTTGAAAACACAAGAGGGGTAATTAATACAGTATGACATGGTGCATAATTCTGGCCTTACGTCTTGGTTCTTGAACGCCGAATTTTATGATGTCTCTAAACTTGACCAAAGTTGGATGCAGCCTAGGTCGGGGTAAGGAGAGTCTCCGCTGGGTGAAGCGTCGGGAAACTCGACGGTCGCGGGGTGCAATTTAAACTACGATTTCGACAAATGAAATCAAAATTTTTAAGAGAGTTGAATATTTGCACTTGAAAACGCATAAACATACTAAAAACTTGAAGTCCAGAATTTTTTAATCAAGTGTCATTTTCATGTTTTTCAGCACAGTGCACAGAAACACAACTTTGACAAGTGAAACGAAATTTTTAAGGAAATCGAAACATTAGATCGTTGCACTTGAAAACGCAGAAACACGCTGTTAAAATATGAAGTCCATATTTTTGTTATCAAGCTTCTTTATGATGTTTTTATGCGCGGCGCACAGAAACACGATTTTGAGAAATTAAACCAAACTTTTTAAGATAATTGAATCTTTACATTTGAAACATTGGAATAAAAACGCAGAGACGCAATAAAAAACATCCAGAATTGAATCTTTGCATTTCTTTATTTTTTAATTATTTAAAGGCACAAAGAAACCGGGAAAAAAATAACATCTTACCCCAGTTTTGATTTTGGGGCAGTTTTCACCAATACTGTTCTAGCTGCCTATAAGTCAGTATGCGGTACTAGACTTCAACTGCATGCAGTGTATTAGAGTACTATCTAAGCTATTCTTTTTAACCTGTTGTCATATCTAAAGTTAAACATGGATGCCGCCAGGACTGAAGCTGAAGAGGAGACCTGAAAAAAAGTTTAAACGTTTAAACTTTCAATCTCAATTTTTTATAACTTTTGTCTCCACCTTGATTCCCCCAACCCGATCCAGATGACATTATCTCCTTTTGTATTTCTAACTCCAAACCATCTACCTGTCAACCATTCTCCAAACACTATTTCCTAAAAAACAAGTTTTCCGAAATCAAGATGCATGTTACCGGACGAACTATCAATTTATTATTCTTGTAAAGGAGCAAACTCTAATTTTTAGATCCACGTGTCTTTTTAACCTGAGATGGAATTTAAAGAATTTGAGCCCTGGTTTAAATCTGCCAAAACCCGGTTTAAATTAAGCACCGGCTTCAATCTTGAAACATTTGATATAATTTTAAGTGGAACCAACCATATTTAAGCCGCGGATTAAATTTAAACCGCCGCTCAAATTCTTTAAATTCGGCCACTGATGGCGTAAACCTTTCATATTGAAAAATGTATTGTTTGAAAATCAAAGCTTTTCATGATATGCTTAAATTTGTATAAAATGTTAAAAAGCTTATTTCAGTTGATTTTTTGACAAAAATGATTTAATTGGGAAAATGTTCCAATCATTTTAACTCTGCTTCATGTTTATATCTGACTGAATAGAATTCATTAAAGAAAAAGTTCTTCTAATGAGTTCATCAAAAGTTTTACAATAATTATTCAAAAGTTTTATTTTGAAAAAACGATAGCTTGTATCATTAACTTACAAAAAGGTAAATTTTGAACGCTTGATTTGCGACCTGTTTTATATACCTGTCTGATTTTCAATTATTTAACTTTAGCGGCGGACAAACTTTTATATATCATTCAATTTTTTCATGACTATCAAAATTTCTTTCTTAAAAATTATTTTCTCTACTACTTATCAACATTGCAATGTTCAATAGTGTACATCAAAGCAAATAAGAATCCCTTCTTTATCCGGAAAGTGGGTTCTAGAGTAAATATTGATATTAAAATTGTTTTCAATATCTAGCAGGATATTTCCTTTCAACTGCATCTTTTCATTCTAAACATTAATAAGGAAGCCTGGAATTTATTTCAGTTGGGCTTTACAAGTAATTTACAAATAGTTTTTATTTTTTATGAAAAAATCAATTTGTACTACTTGTTTTTCTGATAATTCATTGGTTTTTGGATAGAAATTATTTGTCACTTTTGTTTTAAATGCTTAAGAGAAATATATCAGATTTATTTGCAGTAATGTTACCTCTACAACAGATATTTTTGTATCTGTTATATTGAGAACTCCTAGTCCGACTACTGTAGAGAAAGCTTCTTTAGGATAATCGTAGTTCAAGGGTTTAGCTCGGTAGCATATAGTCGTCTGCTTAGGGAGACTATACGGACCCTAGGACCAGATAAATATACCATAAAGGACTAGTGGTAGGGAGACTATCCGGACCCTGGGACCATATAAATATACCATAAAGGACTAGTAGTAGGGAGACTATACAGACCCTGGGACCAGATAAATATACCATAAAGGACTAGTAGTAGGGAGACTATACGGACCATGGTACCAGATAAATATACCATAAAGGACTAGTAGTAGGGAGACTATATGGACCCTGGGACCAGATAAATATACCATAAAGGACTAGTAGTAAGGTGACTATACGGACCCTGGGACCAGATAAATATACCATAAAGGACTAGTAGTAGGGAGACTATACGGACCCTGGGACCAGATAAATATACCATAAAGGACTAGTAGTAGGGAGACTATACGGACCCTGGGACCAGATAAATATACCATAAAAGACTAGTAGTAGGAAGACTATATTAACTATTGAACCAGATAAATATACCATAAAGGACTTGTAGTAGGAAGACTATACGAACTATTGAACCAGATAAATATACCATAAAAGACTAGTAGTAAGAAGACTATATTAACTATTGAACCAGATAAATATACCATAAAAGACTAGTAGTAGAAACTATACGGACTATTGAACCAGATACATATACCATAAAGTAACACGACTACGCCATTCAGAATTTCAAGAACTGTGGCGGGTGGCCACGTTAGAATCATTGTATTGTTTACTTGAAATGTATAAATACGCGCCATACAGAAATTTTATGTACTGAGACATTAAAAAGTCATATAAAATACTAACTGAAGTGTCTGGCGTTGCCCTTGGAATTTTAAAAACATATTTTTTTTTAATTTTGAAAAAAAATTATCGATTTAAAAGAACATCGGTCCAGCTGTTTGACCAGCTGACATATACAGGTATATATATCAGCGAGGTCTTAATCTTTGTGGGTAACAATGTAAAACTGTCATTTGTTTAATCATTTAAAGAGGAATACTTTTCATATTAACTGTAGAAATCATCTTAGGTGATATGTTTGATTCACAACCTCTTTAATCCATTTTCTGATTAGTGGCTTGTAGATTTATGCAGAGACTATATTCAAGGAAATTATTAGAATTCAACATTTTTTACAATAGAAAAATAATAATATCTCATCAGGGTCAGGTTTAAAGGGTGCATTGGACATACCATTTTTAAAATTTGTCTACAGTCTCTTTTTCAAGTGTTTTTTTATTTTAATTTTGTTCAATTTTAATTTTAGATTTTTTTTAAAAATTGGGTTTTATTTATATTTATTGTTGGGTTAAGGTTTAAATTCTATCTTAATTTTTCAATTTTTTATTTGTTTAACCTCCGAATTTACTTTCAAGTTTTGAACTGTTTAATTTGATTAAGATAAAAGGTTGTCACAGTTTACAATTCATACAAAGATAAATAGAAAAAAGAAAATAGAAAATAGAAAATAGAAAATAGAAAATAGAAAATAGAAAATAGAAAATAGAAAATAGAAAATAGAAAATAGAAAATAGAAAATAGAAAAGAGAAAAGAGAAAATAGAAAATAAAAAGAGTAGGCGTAACTTTTTCTGCTTATTTGGTACGACCAAGGAATATTAGTTTATAAATCATAATAACGATATTTTCTAAAGGAACGGATTATTTGCTCTAAACTAATTTACAAATCAATTAAATCTTTGCAACCTCATGTCGGAGACCTTTGATATTTCAAACTATAAATTCTGCTTTAACAAACAGTCAAAGTATCATCTTACATCATCAGAGTCTGGGATTTATAACCTACGGCTTGGGTCCTACTCCTAATTCCTTAAATACGGCTTTAAGACAAAAATCTTAGACCCAACTCTGAAGACAGCTTATGTCACTTGATTGATCTTAGGCTTGACATACGGAGTTAGGCCCTATGAAAATAAAACCGACCTCGGATGGTTTTAGTGGAAAATAAGGCTTAATGTTGAGTCTTGTTAACATAGAAACCTGGAATGTGCCAATTCCAACCATGAAAATCCGCCAAATCCAAATGCTAGTGTTATGAACTCAACTATGTGCAAAATTAGATGCAACTTAAATCAGAGCCCCCCAACCGTAAATAAGGCCCAACGGCAGCTTAAAAACGATGTCAAATCAAAATAAAAATTCCCAGATTTGGACACTTAATATTATTTTCATTATTTTTCTAGATGATATAATTATTCCTCTGAAAGTACACAGTCAAGTTCTAGGCAGTTTCCACAGTTTAGTTCTCTAAATAAATCTAGATTTTAATAGGTCCTTGAATAGGCTTTTTACATAATGACATTAGTGTTTGTGAACTTTTGAGCTTTCTTGCGCATGAATCGGAAAACATGAAATTTTCATAATAATTTACCAAAATTGATAGCTTTTAGCACATAATTCATTCACTTCAGGTTTATTAAATAATCTACATACAAAATAAATATATATATATATATATATATAAACATGCTACTCTTAGTTGGTTACTTGTTAAAAAAAAACTTTTGCGGAAATAGCTGACTTTTTCGCGCAATATTGTTACGCAACAAAAGAAATATTTTTCGTTGCAAAGAAAAAATTGCTTAAAAGTTTTTCGAATGGAAACCCTATTCTTGTACTGTAGTTATCTTTTTCAAAGTCAAACATTTTAATAGTTTTTTTTTTATTTAAGGATAGTAATTACAAACGAAAATTTGATAACGTACCAATATCTAAAGATCGACACTTATTTTAATAAAAACCCGGTCAAAGAGAAAACATACAAAATGACAATTCCACGCTTATGAAATGTTTAAAAGCGAGAAAATTATTCGGAAACCTGAAAGCAAGATAATATTAATAATATCATTTCATAGCAGTACAATGCATATTCATATGTGTTAGAGATGAAAAATAGAAAAGAGTACATAATGTTTCATAACAGGGATATAGTGTTCTATGACAGGGGATCATAATGTTTCATGACAAGGATATAGTGTTCTATGACAGGGGAACATAATGTTTCATGACAGAATACAGTGTTCTATGACAGGGGAACATAATGCTTCATAACAGGGATATAGTGATCTATGACAGGGGAACATAATGTTTCATGAAAAGGATACAGTGTTCTATGACAGGGGTACATAATGTTTCATGACAGGGATATAGTGTTCTATGACAGGGGTACATAATATTTCATGACAAGGATATAGTGTTCTATGACAGGGGAACATAATGTGTCATGACAAGGATATAGTGTTCTATGACAGGGGAACATAATATTTCATGACAAGGATATAGTGTTCTATGACAGGGGAACATAATATTTCATGACAAGGAAATAGTGTTCTATGACAGGGGAACATAATGTTTCATGACAGGGATATAGTGTTCTATGACAGGGGTACATAATGTTTCATGACAGGGATATAGTGTTCTATGACAGGGGAACATAATGTTTCATGACAGGGATATAGTGTTCTATGACAGGGGTACATAATGTTTCATGACAGGGATATAGTGTTCCATGACAAGGGAACATAATGTTTCATGACAGGGGTATATAATGTACTTGACAGGGGTATATAATGTTCTTGACAGGGGTACATAACATTCCTTGACAGGGGAATATAATGTTTCCTGACAGGGGTATACAATGTTTTTTGACAGGAGTATATAGTGACCTTTGACAGGTGTATATATTTTTCCATATATGTGGATAGGGTTACATAAACCCACAGTGGAATTAAAAGTTCCATTATTAGGAGGTTTCATTTTTATGAAGTTGGTTCATAATGTTCTATATTGTAAGTTTTCTCTCTGTTAAATTATGTTGAATAATTTTGATTTTTTTGTTTCCACTTTTACCTGAGATTAGTATATCTGTTTAAAAAATAGATATTTTTGGAAACCATCTCTCCAAAGTGAAAGGAAAGAATTGATATAAATAAGTTGAAAAAAATGCGCATTTTGCCAACTTCGGAAAATGATAAGATTTGTTATGTTCCCTTGCACCACTTAGAGAAGGTATATTTAGAATAGATTAAATCTATGAGCAATATTTAATTTATACTCGAAACCCTTCCAATTCCCCCCCCCTTAATTTTCTTTATATAATAACAAGAAAAAATCAAAGCATGTTAGTAAAGAATACAAATTTATGAAAATGTTTATATTTTGTGTCCTCCCTCCATTGTAATATCTTTATACAATTTCAAATTTATTTGCAATTAAATAATTCGTAAAAATATAAAATGAAATGCTATCAATTTCATCAAATTGTAAATCATGCAAATTAATAATAATTTAATTTTCAAATAAAATGATTAAATCATTTTTATATAAACTGTTCTATTCTGCTAAAAACTAAAACTGTCCAATGTTCTTTGTACTGACCCGGAAACTTTTTGGCGCAGAATTAGTTAAACCAGTCTTTTGTAACCAAGTTCAATTGTAGAAAAGTGGTTCTACTTCTTATCGCTTTTCATCAAAATAAAAATCAGCTTGGACAAAGTGGCCATGTAGCGCACTGAATTTTACCCTACATACATATTCTCCTACAGAAATAGGAAATTGATCTGTTTCTCTAAAAAGATTTCCTAGAAAATGTTTTTTTCATAAATTATTCTTAATTATCACTAATTACAATCTAATCAAGTTTATTGGTTTATTATATCTGACTTTGATTAATTAAAATTAAAAAATAGAAAACAACTCATTTTTTAGTACTTTTGCTTTTGAAGATTTATAAAGATTTAGAATTTAAAATTAAGATAAATGTTTGTTTAGCATGCATAAACTACAAGTTTGTTTAGAATTTATAAACTACAAGTTTGTTTACCATACAAAAACTACAAGTTTGTTTAGCATTTATAAACTACAAGTTAGTTTACCATACATAAACTGCAAGTTTGTTTAGCATGCATAAACTACAAGTTTGTTTATCATGCATAAACTAAAAGTTTGTTTAGCATTTATAAACTACAAGTTTGTTTACCATACATAAACTGCAAGTTTGTTTACCATGCATAAACTACAAGTTTGTTTAGCATGCATAAACTACAAGTTTGTTTACCATACATAAACTGCAAGTTTGTTTATCATGCATAAACTACAAATTAGTTTACCATACATAAACTGCAAGTTTGTTTATCATGCATAAACTACAAGCTTGTTTAGCATGCATAGACTACAAGTTTGTTTACCAGACATAAACTGCAAGTTTGGTTACTATGCATAAACTACAAGTTTGTTTACCATGCATAAACTACAAGTATGTTTACCATGCATAAACTACAAGTTTGTTTACCATACATAAACTGCAAGTTTGTTTACCATGCATAAACAACAAGTTTGTTTCGCATGCCTAAACTAAAAGTTTGTTTACCGTGCATAAACTACAAGTTTGTTTACCATGCATAAACTACAAGTATGTTTACTATGCATAAACTACAAGTTTGTTTACCATGCATAAACTACAAGTATGTTTACCATGCATAAACTTCAAGTTTGTTTACCAACTACAAGTTGCCCAAGTCTTAAAAACACTTTAAGTAAAAAACTATTTTTTTATGACCCCAGGTTCCCATGGACCAAAAATTGTCAATTTAGTTCAGCCGTTTAGGAATATATAGGAGCGAAGATCGTTATAATATTTATAAATATTTGTCCCCCCCCCTGCCCCTCTCATCCCTCTATTTTTCAACCTTTCTATAGGAAACCTATGGACTTGTTTAATAACGAGAAAGGGTTCAAGATTGTCCACAATTTGTGCAAATGTATATTTTAAAACTATTTCAGTTTAACTATACAAAAAGAAATCAAAATCTTTCAAAAAACGCCAATATTTTTTATAATTGATGTACTTATTTATATATAAGTGCTATTTGCAGTAAAGTAAAAATTTAAGTAAATTTTAAGAATTTTTTCTTTTGTTTATTTGACATATTTATTCCTGAGAGATTACACAGGTTAGGTTTCTACAATCCCAACAGTTTAGTTCCCTAAAAACAAATTTAATTAAAAATTGTAAATAGAAATCAGCAAATTCCAACAAAATTATTAACCAGTCCAGTCCAGCAAATTTTTAAACTAAGGTTATGATTTAACTCAAGGGTGTAATGCAAGGAAATTCAATTGCGGTTGTGTATAATCTGTGTACATATTGAAACCAGCTCTCTCTGGGCGGAATTTGTAAACAATAATAGATGCATCAGTGTTCGTTTAGTATCCGAGGAGGTTAAAAGCATTAAATTTTGATAATTTTGATAATTCACATTATAGTTTCCTATGACCAGAATATTTCATTGATTTTTTTATGTGAAAAATGGATCCCAAGTCAGGCTTCGACATCCGTCTTGTGTTTACATAAGCACCCAGAGACAGTACACTGCAGTACAAAAGATGTGTACACTTCTGAAATAACTTTCCTTGCCTTACATCCCTGATTTTTCTAAATTTTTAATCCTAAACAGGCTGGGGGGGAGTGGCGCCCCCCTCTATTTTTTTACCTTTAATAAAGATAAATTAAAATCTAAAATAGCCCATAATTTTTTATGACTAAAGCTACAAATCTAAAACTATATCTTTGAAAAGCCCTTGAAAAATGGATGTAGAAACATGTGTCACACTTTGATATTTGTTTTAAACAAAAAGTATTTTTTTTAATATTTGTTTGACCTTTTTTGGCATTTTTTTCAACCCTCCCTAGCACCTACACTATAAAAGTTATCGATCAAATTTCATTTTTTTAATGAGCTGGCCTTAAAAAATTAGGCTACTTGCATGCATTTCAAACCTATACCTATTCTCTTCGGACTTTTTCTAAGGGGGGCGTCCCAATTCTTAACTAAAAAGTAGTTTAGCAGAGTTCACAACTAAAAAACTAGTTTAGAAAATTCACAACTAAAAAACTAGTCCAGCAGAGTTCACAACTGAAAAACTAGTTTAGAAATTCATAACTAAAAAACTAGTACAGCTCGAGTTCACAACTAAAATACTAGTCAAGAAAATTCATAACTAAAAAACTGATTAAGCAAAATTCTTATAAGGAACTATTCAGAAAACTTCTAACTAGTTCAGCAAACTTCTTAACTAAAGAACTGATCGAGTAAAATTCTGAACTAAAGAACTAAACTCAAGTAAAATTCTTAACTAAGGAACTATAGTTCAGAAAACGTCTAAATTCAAGAACTAGTTCAGCAAACTTCTTAACTATAAAACTAATCGAGTAAAATTCTGAACTAAAGAACTATAGTCATGCAAACTTCTTAACAAAGGAACTATAGTTCAAAAAACTTCCTAACTAAAGAACTAGTTCAGCAAACTTCTTAACTAAAGAATTAGTACACCAAAGTTCTGAACAAAAGAACTAGTCCAGCTAAATTTTTAACTAAGAAATAGTCCTGCAAAAGAATAAAAGTCTTTTCAACAAACTAATCCCTATATCTGTGCAACAAAATGTCGTAGACCATAGATATTTCAAACTATGAATTCTATTTGAAATATATAAGGTTTTTAACAATCAGAATGAAGAGATAAAGGGATTAGAAAATCTGATTTTGACTCAAACTTCTTAATGAAATAACTGTTAGAGAAGAAATTATAACTAAAGAACTATAGTCCAGAAAATTTCATAACTAAGGAATTAAATGACTCTGAGCATGTCATACCCGCATCGCTGGACACTGGGAACTTCCATTGTGGAAGGGCAATATGTTGAGTAAAAGTATATTTTGTGCTACACAATATACAAATTGAATTTTTAGATAAAAACCCCAAAATATAAATAGATAAAATTTATAAAACGACAGGTCTCAACTCCCACCAATCCACCCTTAGTCCTCACCACTTGGTAAATCAAAACAGGGGTAAAAGTAAACCTCTTAAGGCAACTATGGAATCTAAATTAAAATTTGTTGGTCATATTCATTTTAAATTGATTTTTTTCGGTGAAATTTTCCTATCATCTATTGGTTTGCTTTGGTAAATTCGGAAATTTTCTTTATTAGATTATTTTTTCTTGTTAATCTATGACATTTGATTATATTTTTTACCTAAAATTAGCCTTTCTATGCAGAAAGAAAGTTTGAATGGGAGTCAGTTGTCCCAAATGAAGAAAAAGAAAAACTAGAAAAAATATGAAAAATAAGCTCATGTTGTTAACTTCAGCAATTACTCTTGTCTTGCTGGAAACTGTAGAGGAAAGATTGAATGAAATTTACCCGCAATATCTTATTTATACCTTATAAACATTTGAACTATTTATCAAGGCTTAAAATAACAATAGATATTTATTTTGCATAAACAAACAACAGAACAAGAAACAAAAATGCTTATTACTTTTATTCACCCTTCTCATTATCCCTCAGTTTCTTTAATAATTTTCCCACCAAATTAGCTGATTATTACAATATTATGGATCAAAAATATTAAATATCAAACCATTGCAAATTACAAGTCGTTGAATGGAGTAAACTTTATTATCATTTGTTTTTAGCTTAAATATTTCAAACTTTAACTATTTTATCTTGCAGAATACTTCTACTCATTTTAGAGTTTAGAGTGGGGAAATCTAAAAAAACTTTACAGACAGGCCCAACTTTAAGGCGTTGCCAGGTTTTAACCCTGACCAACCTTGTTATAAGTTTAGCCCTGGAAGTTATTCCTATATGCTTTGGTTTTGAATGAGTTTTTGATAAAATGTTGATAGACTTTAGCATAGGGCTGGACAAAGTTCCTTTAACTAAACGCCGTTATCGAAACAGAGGTTTTCAAAAATAAACGAAAGAGTCCGTTAACAAAAGGCAAAAACGTTTAGTTTTAATTCATTAACGAAACGGATTAGCCGTTACCTGGAAAAAGTAATGGTTGAACACAAAAACATAACGGATGCGTTAACAATCAAGGAAATTTTTAGAGTTTTAGAGTTTACAGTTGAAAATATCTCCTGTTAAAGCTGTTAGCCCTAAACAGGCGGGGAACTTTTATGCATAGGGTAGAAGGGTACAGAGCAGTAAAAAG